TGAGTCCACAGGAGAGGATTTGTCAATGGCATTAAATTGATGCAACTGGCGCTAGTAGGTCACATGACAGTGACAACATGGCGAATGTAGTACATCAAGATTAAATTCGTACTATGCACATTCACCCTATATAGAACATAATTTTTACAAAACAAGTAGCCTGCCTATTTAGAGAGTATGTGATTTCGGACAATCCAGGTCTACTGCTCTTTCACAATTTACAGGAAATGTATGATGGTGATGCGTTGGCGGCTCAAAGTTGTTTACACATAATAGCCAATTTGATTGGCTTGCCATTTTTGCTTAAATTAGAAACTGCTGTAATGATACACAGAGTGAGTTTCATACACCGTGCACCTTATTTTCCCACATTTTCTCTAAGTATCTTGTTCTCAAGGGCTTTTCCCATGTTACGTTGCTCGCAGACTTTGCGTTTTTCCTCTGTTATCAGAAGCGGTCTCACTTTATCTTAGCTGTATCACAGAAGTATGTGCTCAGCGAGCCCAGAATAGCAGCACCTCATAAAGTTTCTGTATTGAAAAGTTTTTTACACATCAACCCTCGCTCTTTCATTCTCGTTCTCTCTCCCTGGCCTAATAAGTGCTCATTACAGCCCACTCTCCACCCTCTCTTCTCCCCTCTCCTCTATCGTGCCGTGTCTGGAACGGGATGGCACACACTCCCTAATGTGGGAGACATCTGGACTTAACCTTAAAGAAGCAGAAATGTTTCCACAGATGCTGTCATGCCGTCAGCGGCTGCTCGTCTGAATAATCTGTGTTCGATTCTTTGCAAGCAGCTTTGTGGAGCGAGACCATAAACAGAAAGTAGCACAGTGGCCACATGCAAAAACAAAATCTGAATGAGACATTCACAAAAGTGAAACATGAGCCATCACGGCCTTCATAAGGCCTGCTGAATATTGGATGAGATGAGTCCATCACTCTCAGTTTGCGGTGAGCAGAGGCACGGTGTGACATCTCTATTGTTTTCACACTCCTCGTGGGATGCTTCTCACGAATGTGCACCTCTAAACTGACCATGAATACTTCATTATAAATAGTGAATAATCAAACTAGTTGTCATGTAGACAAATACTCATGAGTTTTCAATTTCAGTCTGGTTCTTGAACAATCTTATTTTCTTTATTCTGTGGAAACTTTTGTTTTTTGAAGTGACCGAAGGTGCACCAATTTATTTTTACACTTTGTTTTATATATACAGACACCGTTTGTTTAAAATTATAATATCCTGACTCCTGTAATATCAGTGGCTTAGAAAAAGCTATTTTATTCAATATAATATATGCATAATCATTATCTGACGAAATTAGATATTTTTTTCAGTTTTGGCAGATACTGGATATTTAATTGTTCATGCTCCTTTTCCCTATTTTTTACATTTAATAACTGTTAAATGTAATCGTTAGCAAATTTCAAAATTAATATCCATTTATCATACTGTACAGTACAATGTTGTGATGCCTAAATTCACTTGTAGCATTTAAAATGACTGATTTTAGTTTTCAGTTTTATTTTTATTTATTTAGACAAAATAGTATTTTAAATTTTAGTGTCGGCATTAATCAGTTACTTGAAAACACAGAAGAGTTAAGAATACACAAACAGGTCACCTGACCTTGGGCAGACTATAAGACCCTGTGTAATGGGATACTGATCATCTAAGCAAAGGTGGGACAGCATTTCACTAAGCTCACACACACACACACACACATACACGACTCTCGCTGGCGTGCTGATCACACAGACTGCATCCTGGTGTCCTTGTCCTTTGCTTTGACAGGAAGTGAGCTGCTTCCACTGCCACTGTCAATGGTGACCACAGTATCAGATAAAGCCAGTGTGTCACATTACTGCTGCCATATTAACACACAACAGAGAAATCCACACTATTTTACTGCCAAACCAAACTGAAATCTCATATTAAAGAATATTACATTATATGTGTATGTACAGTATATATATATAGAGGGAGTTTGGTGTCTTAAGATTTTTTTACAGATTTTTGTTTTTGAAAGAAGTCTCTTATGCTCACCAAGGCTACATTTTTAATCAGAAATACAGTAAAAATCGTAATATTGTGAAATATTATTACAATTTAAAGGGGTCATATGATGCGATTTAAATTTTTACTTTCTCTTTGAAGTGTTACAAGCTCTTGGTGCATAAAGAAGATCTGTAATGTAAGGCGCTGTGTTTCGTTGTGAAAGCGAAACTACTTTGTTTGGCCTTCCAAAAGAGGACGATATCCGCAGGCCATAATTCAGAAATAACTCCTCATATCCCCTGATCTGCCTCTAATGATTGTAAGGAGCCCAATGCATGATATGGGTGTAAAGAGGCCTGTATTAAGGCTGGGTAAAAAATATCGATATCTCGATATTAATCGATTCTCATTTTTACAGAACGATATTGATTCTTAAATCCCAATAATCGATTATTCTAGCCTGTTTTCAGTTAATGGACGGAACACTGAAGGGCACTTCCCATCCAATATATCGCAATA